CTTGCTGAGCTCACCAAAGCTTTGCCTCTCTTGTCCTCCAAAAAGCAAACAAAAACCCAACAGGTTTGAACCACAAGCAGCAATGGCCCTACAGCTTCTGGCCATGCAGCACATCCCCAGTGCAGTGGCCTTAACAGGTCCACTGGTCCAGCATTATGTGCCCTGATTATTTTCTATTTAATAGTAGTTAGGTGGTTAATTACCTGAAGGTTGCAAGCTGAAGTCTTATTTTTCATACATGACTTAGTAATTAAATTACCCCAGTTGCTATTACATAATGTAAGTAACAGCTACTTGATTTTAAAAGAATAGTCAAATTTGGCAGACAGTTCAGAGTAATTTCATTTTATATTGGAGCCTAATGCTAAGAGATTGCACAGAAAGCAGAAGGCAGCTGCCTGCAATAGTCTGAAATTAGCATGTGGTAACCAACAACTATTATTTTTGTATTACTGTTTGTAATTCCTAAATGGAGAATTAAATTTCTATAATAGATACAGCTTTTAACAAAAACAAAAAATAGAAGTGTTTGCTTTTTCTGTCAAGGAAAACTCTTTTAGGAAATGTTACCACTGAATGTACATTTCCCAAGGGAGGGTGGAAGGAAAAACCCTCAGCCTTGCAAAATTCCTTTGCACCAGGCTTTGGCTTTCCACAGATACCACTGCAGGATTGTCTCAAGTTTCTTCTAAAGGGCTAGCAAAAAGGTAGATTTATCATTTAGAGATGAAAATGAGGTAATTAGATTTTTGAGCTATAATACACATTTGCTGTAACTGCATTTAGGTTGGAATGAGCATTCACTTGCCAAAAAATGATGTTCCCTCTTCCCCATGAAACAACGAGCCCAGGTGCTCCATTTCTGCTTCTTAACATGTGTCTGACCAAGCCTGACAAATTACAGGGGTAGTGACTAGGAACAGAGGATCACATTTCAGGGTCTTGGAGCTTATATTGGGCAGTAAATTTTTGACCTTAATTTTAAAAGGCTTTTAATTCTGCATATCAGTTTTTATATGAGAAGGCCAGCTGAGGCATGGGGACTTGGGCGCTAACCTGATCTCCCACCCAGACCTAAAAGTACCTCAAACAATCAATGTGTCTTTAATTTGAAATGCTTGATGACTAATCTCGTTTTCTTTAATAATGATCTACAGTTAATCATTATGAGTGGTAAATAGTCTATTGCAGCATCGATAGAAAGAGTTCCTATGGGAAAATTTTCCCCTATACCTTTAATTTAAATATGCATTTTCACATCACACTTACCAAATCCTTACCTTTATGCTATCGCATGATTACAGGTCCATTAACTAATCACATTTGACAACTTGTTTATTGAGGGGAGCAACTATTTTACATCTCTTGCCTGGGAAAGAAAACACTCTAACAAACAATTATTCAGCAGCTGCAATCATGGAGCACTGAATTAATTGGTTTGAAGATCTCAGTCAAGAAGATCTTGATAAAAAAAATCAAAGAAAATGTTGTTTGATAGAATGCATGAATGAGAATGCCAGGAGGGACTGCAGCTCTGTAAGCTGGAGCCCTGCTCCAGGGAGCTATGGATGAGGACTTGGAAACACTGCACTCAGCAGAGGAGGAGGCCGTGGAAAAGCTCATTTGCTTGTTTGTTCTTTTAAGTTTTAGTTTATTAAACCCAGAACTTATACATACAATTTGATTATAGGATCAGGATGCTGCTAAAAGGGCAAACAAACCTGAGCATGATCAGGTCTATAAGGGCTGATACATGGATATTTCATACATGTAACCTCTGTGGATGACTTCTCCTGCCATACAAATAATTAACCCAAAGGGTTAATCATTATAAAGCACTTTAAAACTTTCTCCCTGTGAGAACTGCACTGGAGTGGGATAAAAAGCATGTTGGGATTTCAGCTCTGGACCTGGCTGGGCAGAAGTGTCTTGGTGTGCTGTGGCACTGGGGAAAGGCAGCAGTGCCAGTGCCATTTGCTCCCTGACACGTGTTCAGGGCAGCATCAGCAGAGTTTGCATCTCAAGTGTGCAAACTGGTGCTTTGTTGGGACTAGAGCCTTGTAGAAAATGGTGGGATCAGTGCTGAAGCTTGAGGCAGGTACTGAACATGTCAGTTGGAAAGGGGTTTCTGATCTCTCCAGTTTCTTTGTCCGTGACTGCTGCTCCTTCAACAGCATGAGGAGGACCAGAGTGTCTCAAAGGAGACAGTCCTAAACTCTGCTTCCCCAAACTCTGCTCCATGGACAAGTCCCAGCCTGCAATGCTCTGGCCAAACCCAAGCCACACTTTCAGCTGCTGTAACCCCATGTGTCTTGCAAGTCAGTCGAGATTAAATATGTTCCTGACAGACAAGGCTAATTCCTACAGTGACACTGAAAAGGGTTCAAAGGTTTCAAAGTTCTCTGTAGTAAGGGGCTTCAAAAGTGTAGTATGAGGACTAAACAATATCATCTCTGAATATTATGTCACTATAGAAAGCTGAAGAGGTTGCCCAGTAAGCTGAAGGGCAGCAATAACATCAGGTGGCTTCTCCCCCTAATTGAGATTCTGGGGGTCACATCACACTTGTAACAGTCAACTTTTCAAAACTGCCCAGTTCTTACATTAAAAGTAGCTTTGCTAGCATCACCTCTCTAGAAACAGGGAGAAATAGAATTCTTTTTCCTTTCCGGCATGCCCCCAGTTCAGAAGGTCTGTGAGGATAGCAGTATTTAGGTCACAGTCATGAACTGTTCTGCCAAATCCAGCACCACTAAGGACTAACGTCTCAAAAAGTGTGATGGAAACTCCTGTCACAACTGTTCCTATCTATAAAGGAGGAGCAGAGAAGCCATGGCCCCTGCATTGACTCTTGTTTAATATCAGCAAGAGCCCAAACTGAATTTATACACTTGCAGCTATGTACCCTGATTCAAATAATTGTTTTGCAGGTATGGTTCACAGAATTTGCCCTGGTGAAGGAAATGTAGAAAAATGCAAGTAAACAAATTGTTGCTAAAATTTATATTAATCACTCAAGCAAGTTGTAGACTAGCAGGAGACCAATATGTTTTGGTTTATCCTTATGAAAAATGTAAATAGCAGGTTACACATTAATGCTTGGAAATCACTAACTTTACTTGCCAAGGAATTATACAATTATTTTAAATGAATGAATGGAAAAGTGTGCATCAGTCTATAGGCTCAAGTGGCTATTGCATGAGCTGGGATAAATCTGAGGTGTTCCCAAGACAGCAGACCTTTATCCTTCTTTACTGTAGGGTAATGATCAAGCAAATATTTAAGAAACTTTCTAAAGAGGTCATGAGTAAAATGTGATGTATTATTAGACACACAAATGAACTCTTATTAAAATAATAGAAAAATCCTGATATATTAGGGCATGGTATAATAAATCCAATTTAACCTGGAACTGTGCATGGAATACCATTATTAGGATTTGTCCTTAATAAAAGGCTTCCAGTTAGTTAATAAAATTTGAGACTCTACTAACCTTAGAGCAGAGTTTCTTCCACGTCAAATGGTCCATGCTGTGTGACAAAGCTATGGTGGTGAAAAGAGCAGCCTCATCCTCTGGGTCCAGTCACTAAGTTGGGGTTCAGAGGAAAGGCAAAGTTGCCACAGGCCCTCAGTTTTCCCAAAAGCCAAATATGTGGGCTAAGAATCTGTCAGCTCAGTGCTTCGGCAACTGGCACCGCAGCTGATCCATCCACATCATGGGAAGGTCAGTTAAATTGCTCACAGTTTATTTCAAAAGCTCTCAACCCTCGTGTACAGACATGAGGGACTGAAGAGTAATGATCACTCAAAACCGGAGGAAGTAAAGCAGCTGCTGCCATCTGAAAAACAAATGCTGTGAGGACAAAGGAGCTCACTCGTGCCAGCCATGCAGCCAGAACAATTTTTCCTGCTATTGAGAAATTTGTAAGGGAGATGTTAAGCTCACCATAACAGCACTAAGATCTTCTTCTCTTTCCCAAGTTACATCTTTATTTAAGCACAGACCATTCCGGCCACAGAGCGACGGAAACATTTTTGTTTAGTTTTCGCTAATGCAGAATGAGCAGCTAAAACACAGACAATATTAATGAACTTATTCTGTTCTTGTAAATCAAGGGTTCCCCTGAGCGAGCAGTGTGTGTTCAGATCTGGGCACCCGATTCAAGAAAGATATTGTCAAAATACATGTGGGATTTTGAAACAGACGCTAATTAGAAAATGGAAAATATAATCAAAAAAAAAGATGGAAGAGACTGGGATGGTGCCTTCAGGGTGAAAAAACTTAAGTAGGTGTTTGTGTTTTGGAACCACCTTTATAGCCAGTGACAAAAAAAAAAAAGGAATGTGATGACAACTGCTGACTCTTTCCCTCTCAGCAAAAGAAAATATACAAATTTTAAAGTTTGGAAAGAAAACTGTTGTGGCATATCATCAAACTGCAAGTGCTATGAGGCAACAGTGATGCCAAAATTTCAGTAAATTAAAAAATACAATTTTTTACTTTCAACTGCCACTATGAATTCATGTCCAGACAGAGACATACAGTGAAACTTTGACAGACTAAAAGGCTTCCCACGTCTGCATATAAAACAGCCTGTAATTACTAAGGGCTGGGAAGAAGCTCTCTTTGTATGAAACAACTCCACAACTTCCTTCTGCAGGTATTCCTCTGTCACCTTCTGACACTGGACAAGAGCAGAAAAAAACCCTACAGATGAGAGAATGTATACAATAAATAATATTGTTTTGTAACTATTTTGCAAGAAGTTTATAGAACTGTGAAGAAAAGCCTTAACAGAATAAAAGACACTTCACTAGTTATTATAATTTTTCTCCCTTTGGGGAGGTACATAAAGAACATTTAAAAAGCTATCTTGATATAAAATCATGAAAGATTGTTCTTTCCTCATGAAAAGTAATTTATTTTGATGTCTCACAAACTCTTTTTTCTGTGAGTATTTAATACATATATGGAACAATTACAGTTTAACCATTTGCTAATGGTTATATGAAATGATCACCATATCTTACATTACCATGATCCCTTAAAGCAAACTGCAGCAGCTTTAGCTGCAGCAAGACTTTCATTAAATCACTCATCTGCATTGCCTTGCCTTGCAATTATGAATCCCACTTTGTTTTTTTATGGACTCTTAAAATCAGTCAAATATCCCAAAATTAAAATATCTAGCAATTCCCTCTACATTTATTACAGTTATTTTATAACTGGGCCAAAAGTTATAAAACTTTTGCGGCACAGTTGGCTTTGAATTAGCAAAGCCACACTGAGCTCCAGCCAGTGAGGCAAACAGGAGCTCCCCTTCAGCACAAGGCTGCCTGTGAAAGGAAAAACAATTAATGGATGGGATCAGTAGTGCCAGTGGTTCATTTATAAAGCCACCTTACAAAGCAGACAGAAATGACGTAAATCTGCTTCATGGCGTGTTTTCCTGAAAGTCCATGAGAGAAGTAAGATAGCACCTGAACTAAAATGTTGTGGAAACAAGGTGCTTCTCGGGTAACGTTTCTGACTTTACCTATACACACAGCGACCCATCTGCTGAGTAAATGCATGGCAGCCAGCACTGACTGCTCGGCCAGTTAAATGGTTTTTCCTCCCTTCCTCTAGTTCAGAAAACTGAGGCTGATACTGTTTGCTGTTGCCAGTTCAAGCCTAGAGGGGCACAGTAACAACAGGCCCAGGGCAAAAGTAGCTATCCCTGAGCTCTCTGATTTTACAGTAGCCATCACCCAGGGTTTATACACGGGAGCAAAGCTTAATGTAGTTACAGATTGAAGAAAACTACAGCAAACCCCTTTCATTCTAGAAACGTTTTTAATTTCACTTGCATATTTTAAAAGAACGACAATATGCTAGCAGCAAAAAATAAAAAGGAAGATTTCTGTTCTAACATTTCACAATACGTTAGTGTCCAAATCTGCATTTTTCTATTAAGGCAATCTGCATTAATTACCTATCACCTGTGAATACTAGGACAGCATTTCCAAATATGTACAAACCTCTATAAAATGTTAGTTTTATTATCATAGGAAAAAAAAATCACAATACTAGTAAAAATGTAAACATTTGAAGCTAATGCCTTTAAAATCAAAAAAGGTACCGTCTACCATTCCAAGACCAAGTAAACAGCTGAAAACATTAGCTAAATATAAGAAGTTACCACATTAAGGCTTTGTTCAGTCAATATTTCAAAAGTTGTTCATGTTCCATGAAATTTATATTCAAGTTTGGACTAGCAATTACTTTCAAGTTGTATTTCCTAAAAAAGCAGTTCAGGCTGACTCCTATCTCTGCCCGACTTCAAGACAGTAATTCAAGTACTTAATTTTGCTTTTAAGCAGCATTAACTCGTTCCACCAGCGAACAAGAAGGTACAGTTTTCAGAGCAGGCCTGACATGTTCCTCAGAGAAGTACCTCTTCACATGTAGTTCAGCAGATGCCACCAGTGTTTTCCCTGTGGTATACTGCGTCTCTTGAGCCATTTGTTCCGGGCTCAGGGTCTCTGAACAAATACCATTTTTCCATGGAATTCCTTGTCAGGCAGCAGCACTCCAGCTTGCCTGCACAAATGTGGGGAATAGGATGCAAGGGCTGGGAGAAGCCACAGGCCACAGGCCTCCTGCCCTCCTCCAAGCCTCATCCCAGTAGGAGGCTGGCTAATGCCTCCTGCGCCTTTGTGAAGTATTTCCTATTTCATCATCATTTACATGCGTTATCAAGTGACTTTTGGGTTTTGATCCCTGATATTTTGAGTCATGCAGTCTAAGCACCCTCATGATTGAGTGCAGCTGATAAGATGGTATAATGGTTACATTCTCTTTCACTGCCCAGAAGTAGCATTTCCCCTATGGAACAGGTACCTTCTGCCTCTTGACTCCCCTCACCTCCCCTTGGAAGGACAAAAGTCAAGAGTTCCCTAGCTCCATGTGCTGCCAATAGATGGGATTCAATGACCATCACCCTTCAAACCTCACAGCCTGGGACCTGAATCAGCACCAAATCTAAAACATTACGATGTTTTACTGGTCTTAATTCCTGTTTTGAATATTCATCCTGACTATGGTCAGGAAAACTTGTGAAAGAACCTAATTGATAGTTCTAATTTCTGAAGAAGTCTATGCAATGAAAAGGGACCAGTACCAGTAATAAAGTACTACAATTTGAAACTATATGGAAAAGACAAAACCCATCAATTTTCCTCACAGATGTATCTTCTAATTATATTCCTAAAATTGTGCTCTGCTTTTATTACTAATATCTATGTTCTCTTGCATAGACAAAAGCTGAGTACAAATGTATTTCCTAAAACTGACTTTACTGTACAGCTAAGACCAGTGTTGGCTGGTAGCCTGCAGGTTTTATTAGTTAAACCATCTTGCTTAACAGAAAATGCAAAGGCAATAATGGCAATACAGAATAGGGGGAAAAAAAAGGAAGACTAAGTCAGCAACAATAAATACTAAAACCTGAAGTCAACTGTTGCTTCATAATAGGGATTTTATAGTTCTGAAGCAGGATGATTAGGGTAATTAATGGCCTAGTTTGTTTAGTGGTGATCACAGCAATATCATGAACTGGCCCACATGAGTCTAATTTAAGGATAGATATAAAATATAAATAAACATATCTTCATGGAGAACTGGTCTTGAACAACAGGTTGCATTTCACTCTCTGATGTAGTAAGCTTGGCTTGCAAAGACACCTGCACTGAGGTGTTACCCACAAGAACCCTAAGTCACCTACTGCAAACCAGTGAACATGTAATTTCCCTAAAAATATCAGTACTAGATCAAATAAATATAGAATGTTTTGCTGAAGACAGAAAACTAATTTCAAAATACAGTATTAATAGGAATTCAGCAACAAGTATAGCTGTTTTCCATCTTACTCAATTTTCTAAAGGCTCTGGGATGAAAGCAACTCAGTGGCCTGTCTGTTTCCTTTTCCCCAACCTCCTACCCATGTCACTAATGTAATAAAAACTTACCACCTCTCTCTATAAACCTTGCCTTGCATTCAATTTTAAAAATCAATGATCTGGAAGAAACTGTAAAAATCACTTGCAATAAATTTGCAAAGGACATGCAGACTGCTGTAGTAGTAAAGAATGAGGACAGGTCACTTATACAGAGCAATCTGGATCACTTCATGAGCAGTATTTTAGTGCTGGTAAAATACAGTGTGTATATCTAAGAAAATATAAGGTAGGATAATAAGAGGATGATGTACCGCATTCTTGAGAAAGACTCCGAAGAAGCCTTGAGCCATAAAAGTCAGCATCCAAGGTAATGCTTCCACAAAAAAAAGCATAATGCAATTTTTGAAGAAAGAGGAGAGGGAGATATTCATCAGAGTAAGAGGATCACGTTGTGTCTCTATACAGTCCTGATGGATCACTATTGACATCTCATTCAGATGTCAGCCTTAAAAATATTTCTATACGTGAGAAGTACAGAGAAGAACGTGAAGATTAATTAGTCTTGGATAACATTCACTGCAACAAGAAAGTTAAGGAATTCAGTACGTCTCATCAGAGAAAAGGTTAAAAGGGACATAATCATGATTTACAGCTACACACAAGCAATTAGAAAAGCTGATACTACAGAGATCAATATAAGCAATCAAATGCATAAAAAGACCAAAATAACTTAAGGTGGAGCTAGAAATGCAAATAGAAAATCAAGTGAAAAATGTACCTGGGGTAATTAACTATTGCAACAGGAGGCATAACTGAATTCTCATCACTTGAAGACTTCAAATTAATATTAAATGCCTTGCTAAAATATGTATGTTCAGTTCAAAACAAAGCCACCGAATTTAATAGAGAAACTGCTCATTGAAATTCAATGGCCTGTTGAATTTAAAAATAAATCCTCATTATGGTGCCTTCTTGCCTTATATATTTATGAGATTTATTTTTAAATATAACCACTAAATGGAAGGGGGTTACCAAGAAAAAGGTATTTTTTTCTTTCAGAGCACAGCAGCGTTTAAGACTAGATTTAAAGCTAAATAAGCTGCATTTTGGAAAATATGCTTCCCCCCCCCTTTATTTTTCCTATTTCTTGTTCAGAGTTGTGCAGTCCACTTAGTCGACTGCCTGATTTACATAATCATGTAGTTATTCTTCAGTTTTTCTGTTCCTATTTATAAACCATTCACAAACCATCCACTTAAGTAACAGCATGATTTATTGTAAGAATGATTATGGTTGTTTCGGAGGGAAAATGGAATGTGATTAAACGAAGAATGAACAAGGACATTCTAGAAACAAAGGGCTTTAATCCCATGGAAGGATCTGTAAATGAAACCTGCCTCTCAAGCCCTATCCCATATAGCCAATGAACTACTGAGGGAATTCAGCAGATACCTTTACAGCTGTGCAGCCAAGAGCTTAGCAGAAGACAAAAAAATAGATAAACCAAACCAACCCACACTACCTTCTGGAGAAACGGTAAAGCTCCCAAAGCCATCCACACTTAGGAAAAAAAAAATAAATAAAGAACTGTATGTATACAGCTGCTGATATGATCCTCTCAAGACAGGTCTGAGTACCAAGGCTCTAGAGAGAGAACTGCAGGCAGACCTTTGCTGGTGGATGAATTCCAGCATCTTAGATAAACGCATCAGCCAAGAAAAGGGTTGGGTATTTAAGCTGTGGATCCAGAAGAACACAGATTTTCTGTATGCAATAGATGTTTTGCAGGTGCCACAGGAACCCTGACAACCCATGCTTCTTGCAGAAACTGTGAACAGTCTGAGGGAAGAATATCAAAGTTCAGTATTTTCACCTGAAGTATTTATTCCCTGCAATTGCAGAAAGAACAAGTGGTGAAAATCCCTGTTTGTTTACCAGTAACATTGCCATGTTTACAAACCAGCTCCCTACCAGGAGCAGCTGAGGGGCTCCACAAAGGAGAAGCTGTGCTACAGAGCCACACTGATCAGGAAAAACAACCATGAGATGAAATCCTGAGTGCTCATACACAGCACTGCTTCTGAACAGTGTTAGTCCAAAATAAGCAGCAGTGATGGATCATATCCTTGCTCATAGACAGATAACCCTGGCCCATTCGGACAGCACATGAACCAGCAAGAACTTGGGAAATCCCACAATACTTGATAGAACTGCCTCAGAAATTCGTACGGAGTGTTCAGAACGGCGCAGTAACTTTTCATGGTAGATTACCATATAAGCAGTGGTTCCCAAACAATGAGGGAGAGATAAGGATATTTTAGGTTAAGCCAAGCGTGAAGCCCAAGAAAATTGGTTTTGCAAGATCTGTGCTGAAGGTGTGTGAACTCCCAATTGAAGTAGTCTCAGGAGCTGTGGATGGGCTAAGCTGTGGGACTGATAGAAGGCGTCAGTAACACCTGGGCTGTGGGGACACTGAAGTTACCCTGAACACTGCTGGTTTTTCAAGAGGAAAGTACCAAACCACTGTTTTCCTAAATAGCTCCGTTATTCCAGATAGAGAGAACTTCCCCTGTTCTAGTGCTATTATTTAGATGTGAGTGCTAATGAGCACAGCTGAGACTGCAGCTACCAGTAATGCCCTGGCAAACAGAAAAACACTGTAGCCTCAATTCAGAAAAGCTATATGCTAAAATCTATTTTTACCAAGAGTATTAGTAGAAGGCTGAGAAACTTTAAATTCCAGGGACTCTGTAAGTTAATTATGTCATCTATGGCTGCAACCAAGACCTAGGGTCTAGCAGTTCTGTGATGCCTTTCTGTCTAGGGGTTGGTACTGGTTTGGTTTCAGACCTGCTCTTGTTAACCAGAGAAATGGGATTCCCCTGACCAGCTAAACTGCTTTTTCTACAAGGACCGATTTTGCGAGGAGCAGCAACAGGTGTCTGCAGCTGCTGCATTTTTGTAGCCAACACTGACTCAAGGGAAGAACCACTGGTAGATGTGTGGTCAGGCTTCCCCCATTTTTCTTTGCCCAGTTGTTCTGTGTTCACCTGTGCTTTTGCACTGTATGGTGACTTATGGGAGGGTGGAGGTGGAGCTCTTCTTTTCTTTCCTCTGCTGTCATTAGGACTTGTATCTCCTTTTGGGTCCAGAGGCATGTTCTTCTGAACAGTCATCTCATGAGATCCATCGAAGAGTGAAGCCCATAGGGCAGATGCAGACTCTTTTTGCTGGTCAAGAAGGAACTCACCATCACTCTCTTCAATTTTCCTTTGTATGATATCAGCTAAGCCCTCAAGTTTCACTGGAGAATCAATGCCTGTAATTTTAAGGGACAGCAATTAACTCAGATTAAAGCACTACCAATGATTTTACTGCTACCTATTTTGTTATTAGTACTTAGAACACAAAACTGTATTAATTATGTCTTATGAAGTCTGGACTATTTTTAGGAGTATTAATGGATGAAAAGGAAAAGACGACACATGCTTTCACAGAGAGAACTGAGGTGACAGGAGGGAACTGTTTCTGTGACAACTGGCATTTAGGCAACAGGGTGGGCACTGATATTTCTTTCCAAGTAAAAGTAGAAAAAATAATGTACTGGGAAACCTGTACATATCAGACATTAAACACATTTTGTTGTATAGTACTTTGAAAATTTCGTTTCACAGGAGGCTCATGAAAAAGTTTATGACTAAATATTCTTGTGCTGCTAGCCTGCTGAAAATGGGACATCTTTACATATATCATTTTTCTCTATGTGGTTTAAGACTGCCTTGCTCCATTTCTTATTCCTCTTTCTGAGTTTTCTATGTATACTGAAGTAATACCAGCCTCAAACAGCAGTAGTACCATCTCTGTTGGAGGCCACACATTAATGATTTTCAACACATTTTTAACACAGTGTTTTACTTATAGAATCACTTGGCTACAACCTCCTTTCATGTAGTGCTAGAGAGCAATAAGGTCTCTCTTGAGCCTCCTTTTCTCCAGGCTAAACACCCTCAGCTCCCTCAGCTGCTCCTCATCAGACTTGCGCTCCAGACCCTTCCCCAGCCCTGTTGCCCTTCTCTGTACATGCTCCAGCCCTGTTAGTCTTTCTTGTAGTGAGGGGCCCAAAACTGAACACAAGATTTGAGGCATGGCCTCACCAGTGCCAAGTATGGGGGACTACAAATACTATAAATAAGCAGGAAAGAAAATGGAGTATTAAGAGTGAAGCAGAGTTTGTGTTCTGCTCCTCACTGATGTACTGGTCTATCAGTGGGATTATGCTACCATGGTACCTTTGTAAAACTTCCATGTGGTTCATTTACTGCATTTCTGCCCTGCATTCATAGCTTAGATAAGACTCTTTTGACTGTTCAGTGCTCTGATGCACAGTAACTCAATGACACACACAGAATTTTGAGCATCTTCACAGTTCCCATCCCAAGTAGGAAGCAGTCAGGCATTTACAGTTGTACAGGGTTTCTCAGTCAATACTTCATTGGATCCATTAAAACAAAGTGACCTACTTTTTCTAGTCTGTAAATATTATTTCTGTAATGAAACTATTAAAATAATCCTGCTGCATACCATTTTGCTCTGTGAAAATACAAGTCTCGAATACACTCTAGCTAGGTTTTTCTAGCATATTTTTCAGTATCAAAGACCAAATAATTATGATAAGTTATGCTAGGTAAGCCTTTAAATAGCTTTAATATCAGCAGATTAATTTCATGCAATTGGTTTGCAGGTTGGACTATTTTACCTTTACATTTCCTGAGCTTTGTGCTACTCTTACCATGAATGTTTATTTCTAGTGACAGCTTTTTTGAGTGTGTTCAGGGCTCTCTAGTTACAGTTCAGATTGCAGAATTTTTAGCTCAAGGTATAAAAATGTATTCATTATTTGTGCTATTACAAATTCAGATTTAATATGAACTCCTTGGTATGCAATTATGTGCTCTTTCATTGTCTGAATTGTCCTTGAAAAACTCGATATTTCAACATCAACACCAGAAGCCATTTGAACACAAAGAATGTTGTTTCTGTTACCCTGCAACATGAAAAGGCAAATCCCACTTACTCATATCATGGTAGACGGAGGTCGCTTCCTTTGTCAAGAACAAAGGTGGTTTCCGTGGTGACATAATCTCAATTTTCATAAGTTCCTCACAACAATGTTTCCACTGGCCTGAGAGAGAAAAGAGAACAATGACTGGAACTTAAACACTTCAGCCTGGAAAAAAAATGGAAGTTATTAGATTGTGTTAGGAAACTATCTCCAAAGCAATACTAAACAGTGAGCACTTATTTCTGTTTAGCAGGAACGCTCAGGATGCATTTGTATTTTCACCTCTGTACTCATTCTCTTAGCACAAAGATCATGAGTTACTGTAACTTAAGCATCCCAGCACTATTGTTATGCTATGAAGGGAATGGTCATAATTTGCCTGTGAAACTCCAAACAAAGTATAAATCCATCAGAAAAAAAAAAAACACCACCAAAAAAATTTTAAGGTTCAGGAAGTTTCATGAAGTTATGAGGGACAATATCAAATATCCTGCAAGCTGGATGTTATACAGCTGTGTAACAACGTTATGGCAAAGGAACATTCTGTCTTTAATAGAGGATAACTTGCCTTTTATCCATTAGCAGACAAGGAAACCTCTTTTTCTATTAATAGATTTTGACCTTAAGGAAAACAAGACACAGTAAAATTACTTTGTTCATACCAATCATTCCAAGTTTTCTGAGCACATTAATTTTAAGAGAATTTTAGAACCAGGGAAGAAAAAAGGCATTTAAATGCCAAGTGACCCATTTTTTCTGAATCTAAGGAAAATGTCTCAAAAAATCCATGGGTATTCTATCTATAATGAATAAGAAGTAGTTCTTTTACCCCACTCTACAGATAATTTAAAGAGGATGCCCTAGATTTTGCTTGGTGTGTTTCTCTAATTGATAGTTCCCTTTCTCATTGTAAATCAGAGCTAGAAATAACTAGAACTACAACTACAATACTGAGTTTCCACAATCTCAATTCACTTATTTTATTGGTGTTGCCTCAGACTAAAGACTGGTATTTCATTAATTGACCTGGTTCTGTTTTCTGGCCTGATAAAAATAACTATCAGGAATCTACTCTACCTTGTCAATGGCAGCACAACAGCTGACAGTCTCTACTTTCAATAACTCTATGGGTCAAACTACTAAAGCAGAGGAAAAAGACACAGGCAAATGAATCTGTGTAGTTTTTACAATGAATATTTGGTGTTAAACAAGCAACACACTATACTATTTTAATAACGTTTCACTGTTTCACACCAATAAATTAGTTTCTTCTCTCATGTAAGATCAGTGTTGTTCCAGAGGTTTGCCAAAGCATCAGGGTAACAATTTAAAATCTGTTACAAAGCCTCAGGTACAGCTTTTGCCAGGTTCAAGTAAGCAGCCTGTATTTGCATGACTGGACTGGAGTGTGGCTCGGTGAGCATATTCCTGTGTGACAAGGGGTACTGAAACCTTTGAATTACCAACAGAATCATCTCATCTCATCTCATGGTTGGGCTTCGCGAATGAAGATTTGGGAAGGCTCTATCCACATTTGCTACAGGCACGCTGGTGGCTTATGAGGCCAATACATGACAGACACGTCCGATTGCAAAAGGTACAGCAGAAAGACTCCTTAGATGGTGTATTCTGCAATACACGGTTCTTTCTGCGTTGCCTTTTCTCCTTGAGAGTGATCCTGCGTGTGTTCTCAAAGGAGACAGCAGCGTTATAGATGGTGTGTCTCCAGGCCTCCCGATTGGAGGCCAGAGTAGACCAGTTATGGTGATCAATATGGCCAAGGCTGAGATGTTGTTTCAGGGAGAACCAACAGAATCAAGTAATCCCTATTATAACAAATTGCAATTTAATTCATCCATAACACTGCTGAGCAAGGAAATCCCAAGGACACACGCCTACTTGAAAGAGTTGGCTGAATCCACAACCTAGATGATTCCAGCATCCTCACCACTTCCCACTAAGGCTTCCATACTAAGGTTTCATGCTTGCAGAATCTCACAAAACCAACACACCACTGGTAGGATGCCCAGGCAGAAGTGGACTCCTCCCACCACAGTGAAGGAAGGAGATGGTGAGAATTGAGCAGTCCTTAAAAAAGAATTATCTAGAAAACTTCCAAAAGAGACCAAATCCTTTTGAGATTGATGAGCCCATTCTGCCTCTGGTTTCCTGCAAAAAAACCAGACTGAACACACGGACTTTGGTTTAGTCAAATATTTGCCTTCCAACGGCTTAGACCACCACCCACTATTATCCCAGAGAACATTTTTCTTCTCATCATTGCAAACAAAGGCTTATGAGGCAATTCCAATTCCAACTGCTCAAAGATCCCTTTGATGTTACATAATGCCCCACTTGGAGGGCACACTGCCAGCACTGCCTGCTTACTTACTCAGATCATAAAAGTGCTGCCAGAAAGCCTCCATCCACTTGTGAAGTTCATCCCTATTGTCAGTAGCAAAGCGTTGCATCACAGCCTCTCCAGACACGGGGTTGATAACAGAGAAGTTATTAGTTCTCCTCCTGGAGTCCTTATCCACGACTCGAATTCTGGTTTCCTAGGAAAGACAAACTGTGGTAATGAGTTATTGCTTCAGCTCCACGCTAGCATCACCTTATGGCCAATGACAGTGTAAGGAAGGTATCATTTGGCTTTGTTTCTAATCCAGATTAATTTCCAATTAAAAAAAAAAATGAACTAATGATAAAAATGTTTTCTCATAAAACTATTCAAATGGCACAAAATATGTGAATAGTAATGGAATGGAGTGCAATTATTGCAGTTTAGTTCTGAATTACAGGATGTACGTTCTGTGTTTCCCCTCCCTCTGCCTTCACCTGCTCATCTCACACTGTTTCCTTTTCTCCACAGCAGTTTAGCAAATAATCTAAAATAACAGCAAGCAGCTCCTTTTCTCCATATGATTCAGATGGACAACTATGTTGTTACAGCTACTACTCAGGTCTCCTACTGCATTTCTGTGGGATACTGTTTACCCAATTCTAAACTTTTATTCATTTTATGTTCACCTTAGTGAATCAGAACATTCAGGGCTGAAAAAAACAGTGACAGAAATTTAAAAAGAAACTTACCTAGCCCATTTCAAAATGGACATTTGAGTTTTACCTTAATTAGGGAGAGCTATATAGAAAGAATTAAATACATATAAAGAAGTATATGACAAGTCTATAAATTTCTTTAGCTAGAGTTAGAAAGGCTCTCAGATTACACAACACTGTTATAGCCAAGGTTTTCCATTCTGTTCAAGGATGTAGTTCAATTGATTTTTACCATCCAGATTAGATCCAGTGGTATTTTCAGAGTATCTAGTTGCTTTGTTATGGTATTACTACGATTAAAAAAAAAAGGCACTTATCCCCAACTGAGTGATTTATCTTTTTGTGTGTAAAATGCTGAAAGACTTAAGAAAAAGTCTGATACAAAATGCAACTAAAAAAATTCCAGAACGCAACTGGTCAACATTGCTGCTCATCACAAACATGATGAGCAAATTAAAGTAACTAACACCACTTTACTTACAAAAGTAAAGTAGAAAAACTGGGAATATCTTTGCACGTACAGTTCAACCTGACTGAACAAGCAATGGTCCATTACAACACAGCTCTTCAGAGGAGTTTGACCAAAAGGTGGCTTCGGGGCATTCCTCAAAATACAGTGGGGACAGAACAATCAGTTCCGTTTTACACAGCTCAACCAGATGTCAAACATCTGCTAAAGATGTTAAACATATACCTACAGAAATTAAGTTTACGCATGGGATCCCACGGGGATAAGCCTAGTTCCGATACTCAGAAAAACAAAAATTATTCTACAGAACATTCCCCAGATTTTAAATGCATTACTGAAGTAACCATTTGAAATACCAACAGCTGCTTGTAGCATATCTGATGGATATGCTCATTTAAATTCTTCTGTCTAAAAATAGGAGATGAAGTAATTCATCCATAAGTGATCTATATCCCATTAACTCAGGTAACCATAGATACCAGCAAAAAAATGAAATCAAATTGATTAACATTTGACAGGTAAGAACTTCAAGCATACCATACATACAAGTTTATTTAATGATGTTTGCTGCAGGTTTTATCCCACAACTGTGGGATTATTCAGAGGAGATAAATCCTCAAGCAACAATCTATATCTGATGCTTGGATATTTCAGCAGTGATACAAGATGCCATTACAGTAATGGGCTGATGAATTTACCAAGCTTGGGTGAATTACACTACATGCCCAGTTCCACCTAACAACAAAAAAAACCAAAACAACAACAAAAAGCCATTAAACAAACAAACAAAAACACCCACCCCACCCCTAAACAACAACAAAAAGTGCTTTAAGTTACCGTGTTCTAATAATGATCAATCTCTCCCAGTCTTATAAGACAACTGAACCAACTCTGCTATAGCAAGTGTAGAGATCAGAAGAATCAGTGCATCAGAACAGGAAAAACAGCTGAATCTTGAACTCAAGCGACTGTTCTGGGAAAGCTGAAGCCAATTTTATGTTCTATATGCAAATGATTATTCCTGTGAAGATGGGGAAAGACTTAAAGGGAAAATAATATGATTTTTGTAAAATAAGAACCTTCCTTTATACTTTTCCCCCCAAATAAAAAAATCTCTTTGCCTGATAATACCTCTCTGAAAAGCTCATATTTTAAGCTAAAAAGAAAACAAAAACAAGAGAGAGGTTGCTGAGGTGCAACACTTTCCTGCTAAGCCAGTCCTGACACAGTAAGAAGCACTGGTTATAAAGACCATTTGAAGACATCAAAACAAAATTACAGTTCTTGAGAAAAATATTGAATAACCTAAGACCCAGTTCCATGTATCTATTTTAAGATTAAAACAAATCAAATAATATCTAACAAAATCCCTTCATGTTTTTAGTATCAAAAAAACCCCCCAAAACCAACCAAGAAATAACAGTACAGCAATGGAAACCCAATATAACCTGTGCACACATTGGTTCCTGTTGTAATGTTAATAATTTCCATTTGTTTGGGGCAAGTAGGGAACTACTGTTAAATTTAAAATTGTGTTCTTCAAAACACATTAATGCACAAGACCAAAATCACTCTATCAGGTAATATTTTCTCCCTTCATTATTTTGTAAACTTGTATTAATGTAACATCCTCATGGCCACTGGACGGCAAGTACAACATTTAAGTATAACATGGAAAAGCAACCTTAGGATATCTGTGCCATTTTAGCCATCTGTGGAGCACCACAGCGGCTGAAAACACAGAGAAGGAGATGGCAGGCAATACATGACCTGGCAATGTTCTGTGAAGCACCAGGGAGCCATAAAGCAGCTTCCAAACTCCTCGATCTGAGCACACATGTGGGATGTGGGTATTCTCTCTGCTTCCCCTGCCCACATCCACTATCTCTTTCAAGCAACTGCAAGGCTAAACTGAGCAATGGGACACAAGATACCAGACATTTGGAGGTACCTAACTAGTCTGTGCTTTTCCAAAATATTTTCACGTGTATGAAGCAGTGGGACAAAGTCCTCACTATCAAGAATATCGATATTTTCAGGGCTGATCTCGTTCCCCCGTGCTGGAGTTCCCCACGCATACAGAGAACATTGCTCACGTTGCTGGGTCCCTAAAAGCTTATATGGCCAAGAACTCATATACATATTCATTCCCCTGCTCCAGCCCAAGGATGAACTCCCTTGGTTCCCTAGAAACACTGCATGGTTCCCTCCAAGTTATGCTGCTGCAACCATCGCCACATTTTCCAGCGAATTTCTTTACCTGACCTAGTCCAGAACAGATGTTCCAACAGGAACTGTCACTCAAGGCAAGGCCAGCTTGATTCTGTCCTTTCCCTCCTGCTGCACAGTTTATCAACTGGTCGATGAACCCCTCAGTCACCAGCATGGACATGGAGACAGTTCTAGGCCTGCATGGCACCAGGACTAAGACTGCACCAGCAAAATATGCCAGGAAGGAAATCATGGGACTACAGCAATTTGAATCAACACCCCAGAATACTTCAAGCTTCAGGCATCCATGGCACAAAAAGAAAATTACAATTTATGAACAGAACACAATAGATTATGTATTCCAAACACTGAGAAATCATGTGAACTGTTGGCACAGGTACCAATTTGCTAAGATATCAGGCATAGGCAAGGTCCTTTAGTTTTCATTAGAAACTAAAGAAAACTTGAAAAAAAAATCAGGAACTGGCCCATAAGGAATATTTCTTCAAACTGGATTCCAGTAAATTTTCTTTGCTACAGAAAATATAATTTCTCTTTTCCTACTTAGTTGTGCAATATAATATGTTATAATCACATTTAGCTGGAACAATAATAGTAGCACTTGCATAATAGGAACTGCAGAACCATTCTTGCTCAACAGCAGTAGCAGTGAAGTCATCTGAAGCTGAAGTAATGACTTTGCTGGTCTTAATAGCTTCTTCAAGTCTCCATTCAAAGGGAATGGGAAATAAGACTATCAGTGTGAATATTTTCCAGAGAGTTTCTCATAAATCCAGATTTCATTACTTTTCAGAAAGTATCATTCAATTACATGTAAAGGATCAGCTTCACATTACAAGTGAAAATGCCACATATGCAACCAGAAGAAATTTTAGTTAGAACGTCTGGAATTGGTGTTCAATCTCAACTTTCATTTCGAAATTGCTGTTTCTATAACAACATGAAGCAGACAAGCCCTTATGATTAGTCTGCTTTCATTTAATCCATAAGAGAAATTTCATAACAAAGGAATCAAAAAATATCTGCAGGCATTACGTTATTTTCAAGAGAAACTGTTTAAGTAGTAAAGTATCCAAATATGTTTTCAACTGTGATTTCTTTTTTTCTAGTTTTAATTTAAATTGAAGAAAGATTCACAGACAGTGAATAGCAGCCTGACACTTGTAAAATGGTATAAGATATATGATTTATGTACCTTCTGCATGCTAGCTTTAAGGATACTCTGCAAACGAAAGGACAGTCTCTCAGGAAAGGCTTATTAAGATGGATTTTAGGTTCTAAGTGTATTGGTAACTTGGAGGAGCGAAATATCTTAGCAGATATGGTTATTTTGTAAGGAAAAACAAAACTAGGATATAGACTCAAACAGAGACCTCCAAGGAAAAATATGAAGCAGTCTGATAGATAATTTTAAAAAATATTACTGTCACGATTTGGAACATGGATTTAGTCATCCTATAATTTACAGAAGTTTGCCATTTCTTAAGTGATATTGTGAAGAGCTGGAAAACAGAATTATGGCAGAGGCTGACTAGTGCAATTAGAAGTGACTGAAGAGCTAAGCAAGTAACCTACTTAAATATATATCACAATCTAAATATTTATTTTACCTAAATGTATGAATAGTTGGAAGAAAAAATGGCTCTGTTAAAAAATATAGCTCTAGAAAAAAAGGTATTTTCATTTAAGGAAAAAATTTAAATCTTAGCTTGTTAAAAAATAAGTCCTAACACAAACAAGTCACATTATTATACGCTGTTTAAACATTTGGGTTATATACCAGTCTCACTCTGGGTGAGATTGCAGCTGGCTTTTCCAGAAACATTAAAGCCACCAAAAGTTGATATTGCTGTTGTAAGAAGCAGTCCTTTATTACTCCGTGTCCCTACATATTCCCAATCACTGCTGAGCCCCTTCCCTGTACCACACCAGCACTTGTGTAGCCATGTAATGAACTGGGTAAGAGAACTTATTAAAGGGAACCACAGTCAAAGCCACCTCTCCTCGTGCCCCCCCCGATGAACTAACTTTAACCCACATCAGTTCCCTTGTCCAATTCATCAGTCAGCTGCCCCAGTGCCTGCCCTGGTACGGAGCAGCACAGCAGCTGAACAAGCGACTGGACGGCAGGAATGCTTCCCTCAGAATTAGTGTTGGCACCAGGTGCTCGCAGCAGCACTGCAGCGGAATCCAGATCGAAACAGCTTCCAAACGTGTCTGTTTAGTTATGTAAGATGAACCCAGCTATGTTGATTGCAAACAACATTAAATACCTCTGCCCATCCTTATGGGAAATTAACCCTTGATGACTACACCAGAACCAGTTTTTGAGAGCATCTATTCCCTCTAATGCTCACCATTCTAGAAGGTCCCTCCAATAACACTCCTAAAGTGAACATTTAAATATTATTTCAGATTAAATACTTTCTGCTTCTTTAGCCAAATACTAAATAACACTTAACTTCATGTTTTAACACTTTAACTTTTAAGTTTTAAACTCAGTCTTTCCAATCAGGGTATATAAAAACAGCAGTAATGTCATCCTGAAGAACAGAACTTCCAAAGTTATTGTGCCCTGAACAAAACCAGTATTAAGAAAAGCAGCTTATTTTAAGGCACTAAAATATTTTGAACAATTTTCCAGTTCTCCTTCTAATTAAGACTGTGGCCAAATAACAAACCACAACAAAAAAACTTTTGTTAAAAACTCCAACTTGCTGAGGACAAAAGTCCCTAGCATTGCTAGGGGACTGCAAGCAGGGCTGTCTTACGGAACTGTCATATAAGAAGTTATTGCTTGTCCTAAATAAAAACATCCTCCTTTTTGCCTCTATGCTAACCAGTCTAATGCAATGGAAGGAGCTTACATCCACAGCTAAGAAATGTAACGTCCCTGATAAAAAATTCAGTGACTGAAAATTTCACTGAAGCACATTCCACCCACGTGCTACCTATAAAGCATTCTGCATACGAGCTGCTTAGAGCCCAAATGACTCTATGTACGCCTTAAACCAGAAAGAACCTCCACCAAAATAAAAAAAAGAAGACCCAAACAAAAAAAAAAAACAAAACAAAAGACCAAAACAAAAAACAAATGAGCAAAAAAAACCCCAAAAAACCCCAAACCAAAAACTCCATACAACCAAATTTACCTTGTTGATGGAAACTGTCAATGCTGGCTCCAGCTTGGCCTCAATTTCTTCTGGTGAGTAATAACACAAGAGTTTGCCACCTCTTAGTACACAATACAGCCTCTGCCAGCTCGTTAGACTTCCTACTGTTTGCTGAAGGGAAGAAGTCGCCAGAAATTGCCAAACAAACATAAAACAAGACCATATTACAAGGTATACACATATCAGACCTGATGATCAAAAGTTAGCCAGACCAAATTCATTCCTAAAACAAAGACTCTCTGTTGCAGAACACTTCAGTCACTGATTTCTGAAATGTTAGCAGTACTTTATATGTCTCCTGGTGTTTTACAGTTTTTGGAGATTTATTGCCATGTGACACTAACAGTACAGAGTCTGCTGGTTCACACAGAATGAAATCTATATCTGGTGTCTCTTGTAAGAAAGAAACTACCTTTATTAGCTACAATAATTGCACAATAAGAGAAATAAAAAGAGTACTTCACTTTGGAAATACACAGTACATTCAACAAATGTTAAGCAAAGACATGTGTCTAGAATTTCCACTTTCTCAAATGAATTTTCTGAACAGCTTTCATAAATGCATTACAGTTTCACAACCAGCTTAAAGCCTGTAATTCAGCACTCCTGATAATGACCCAGACCCTCTGGCCCTCCACTATCACCTTCTCGTATGCCTAGTTGTGCAACGAACCAAAATAGAGAAGTGAGTTCACATGAATCATTTCTGAAGGGATGAGTTTAAATACGGCTCAGTTCCCCAGCCCAACTCACCATGCTGTGATATGAACTCTTGTGCCAGCAGAGAGGTGTGCACAAGGATGAGAGCTGCAGGATTATTAGAACTGCTGCCATCAAGTACCAGCCTAAACCAATTCTGAAACAACAATTATACTTGATCTTTGACTAGCAGCCTAAATCATTTTATTGATAAGCACACCAAAGAAACATTTACTTCTCTATGCTTAGCCGCTGAAGGTACTGTTTGTGAACGCAGCTGTGAGAGTTTTCTTGCTCTAGGTAGAATGGGTGAAAAACAACAGTTCTCAATAAACCACTCTAGGTAAAAGTAAATGTTTTAGCAATTGACTCTTAGTGACAGTTATTAACAGAAGAGGATGTAAACACAAGCAAGGTCTTCTTACCTGCTGATTTAGAAATCCTGCCATCACATCCCTGGCCATGCAGGAGGGCTGAGCAACTAAACGGCAACACATGTTTCCATACAAGGGGAGCCAAAAAGAGGATTCCTCTGGGGGAAAAAAACACAGGAAAAAGATAGGCAAACACTAAATCTGAATACTCGCCCTAAATACATTGTTTAGCTTGCTACCTCCATTTTTACATTAAGATTATGAATCTAAATAAGCATTTTCTCATATTTTAAGGAAAAGATTTCATCCTGTAGTATTTGACTCAAACTGATGTTTAGCCCTCAGTAAGATTTTTTAATAAAAAAAAAAATTCCAAACTAACTTCAAGTAAAAATGGAAATATCATTCTTCAAGAACAAGTCGTTGTTACATAAAATATAGCTTTAAATCTCATTTCACAGCTAGAAACATTTTGAAAGATAAATACCCTGGCCCTCTCATCTAGGAGGATCCCAGAGCGTGTCCCATTGTGGCCCACAGCTACATTTACACTTGAGCACTTTGCTTCAGATTGTTACAGCTCAGAATTTGTATCTAGTTCTGTCTTTAGCACTAGAAGAGCATTTAGAATTCCAAGAAGTTTCTAATGAATTGGAATATCCCTCCTCGTTGCTAGTCATAGGCTCTCTCTCTGTAATTAGAAGTAGGTAATGCAATGTTCCATTGACGTAACTCTATCTCTGTTCATGGTTTAGAACTGCTTGTAATGAACCAAAATATCCACGTATGTCCTTTCTCACCAGACTAAATTAAGTAAATTAATGACAGAAAAAGGAACGTGAAGAAGAGAGAGTTTAAAGTACTAATGAAGAAATGCTTACAAATATCAAAGATACTCAAAATTATTCATCCAACCTTTCAAGAAACAAATGCCCCATAAATCTTCAAATCTGTACATATTCAGAATTACTGAAATGTAAAGTAGGAAATTCCCTCTGAAGTCAAGTTTATCCAAGTAAAAGAAAGTTCCCCGAAGCAACAGTGAAAGTCCCATGCCTTAAACTAACAGTTAGAGGGTGGATTATGGGAGGGGCTATCCTTGCAGAAAACAACAGACAAAGTACCAAAAACTGTAACTTAAAACACCACTATCAGTTGCACCATAATCACAGTCCCTGTAGTGGCAGCATCTCCCAATTTGAGCTGCCCTAGAGCTTAAGTACAGCTTATGCCCTGTGTTAAATCTGGGTCTCAACCAACCTCGTTGAACTGAAGATATTTTTCTTCTTTCCTTCTGACTGCAGAGGAAAAAAAGCTGTTCTTCAATCTGATACCCTTCCTTGGTTGTGAGGAAGGTGAAATAATTTGTATATAGCTACAACTCACGTAAGACTGAGATGCAAATGACAGAAGAAACTCCCAAAAGAATTAAATTTTCATCTGGACTTGAAATTTTACTCAACTTGTAGTTTATTCAGCTGTGTACAGATGCCTGTTTTAGAGCCGTTAAGTATTTTATTAAAGTTGTTCTATATTAAGTATCAAGAAAAATAATCTCTTTAAGCTCCTTAGTTTACAAGAGCTTAATGCAAAATGTTACTGGTTTTTTATTTCCTTAAATTGGTACCATATGTACTTACCATTTCCTGTAATGGTAAGGTTGTGGGTCCTGAAATTGTCCTCGGCACTCTCCAGCCCCAAAGTGGTATATGCCAGCAAACTGTACTTTGCTTCACTAAATGTGAACAAAAAGGCACGTTTAAGACATTTCTGCTTCATGTTGTTCAGGCAGTAATTAAAGGGAGTCTAGACAGGCCTGAGATATCATATTTGGGTACAAGGGAACTCCAAGGTGCAAGGCAGCACCTCTCAGTGACCACAGATTGCTACCCCCCAACCTCTTTCCATACAACTCCCATGTCTCTGGTTTTCCTTGTGAACAAACTCTGTTCCATAATCCATTCATCTCCTTGCTATATCCTTATCTCCTGCCTCCATGCTGTGTGTACCTCCAGTTCCCTTCCACCCCATAACTTCCAGGCCCATGCCAAGAGGCCCCATCAAGTGGTTCCTTCCATTGTCTCCTCTCTGAGACTTGCTGGCCAGGAGAATTCCCTTGAGGCCACTGCCTCCGAGCTGGGCTCGTGCTTCCTGGGGAGCCAGCAGCTGCCAAACCCAGGGATAAAGGCTGTGCCATCCAAACCCTCTGCACCCTGAAGATGTTCAAAGCATCTCCCTCCTCTAGGCAGACATCAATTAATTTTTAATAGTTTTTCAGCTCTTATTGCTAGGTCTAAAGCAATTAGATTTGGTAATAGGTTCAAAAATTCCTACAGTTAATAGAACAACCGATGAAATAAACTTTATCTGAAAATACAGGTTAAAAATTAAAAGGCATTAACTGCTTCTCCATGTTGCTCTGCTCTTTTACTTTGCCTGTGCAGACTACACTTTATAAAAGAGTTGTTGACAAATGTATTTTTAATAGTATCTAATAGATGGATTCTTCCCATGCAGAAATCTGTGCAGAAATCCTACAGTCAGTTTTGTAGCATAAAGGATTTTTTCCCTTATTGTGTTTATAGGTTTCAGAATGTTTTATCTTTGTTTTGTGTTTTGCCTGGCGGGAGGGGGAGGAGGAATCACTCTTACAGTCCAGCACAGGGCATGTGGAATGGAATTCTTGGAATAAACTGGTATAAATTTGGTATGTTTCACCTTTTCCCTAAAATACTCATCAGACCAAGTAACAGATTTACAGCCCAACAATGCAGTAAGAATTTCACCTGGTTAATGGCAGCTTGAAGAGAGTTCATAGGAAAACAAACCCCTCAAAAAACACTAACTACTCTCCCTTACAGGATCTAGCACAAGATCCTTACGATATCTTTAGTAGTGCATAAGAAAGTCTAGTGGTGTAAAAGATCAGAAGACACTACTGAACCAAATCACTAAAAAATAGTTTTCTATCATAATATTTTTCAAATCTTGTTTTTCCTAACAGCACAGTGGGAACATACAGCTTTAAAATCTTTGTCTCTGCCAATGAACAAGGCAGATGTCTGCCTACTCCTAACCCTAATGGAAGAGGAGGAGGAAAAGGAGCAAGTTTGTTAGCAGGGAGGTCTGATACACATCTGTCTCAAGGGAATAAGAGAAAATTAAATATGTTATAACATTCTGGGTGAAAAAACACTGCTGTGAATCATTTCAAGAGGGCAATCTGAACAAAAACTCATCAGCATTTGTATATATTCTCTGCTTGACTGTTCCCTAACAAAAGATTCTCCAGTGATTATGTTTGGGCATGCAGTTGAGCAATGCATTACCATTCTATCTAAACCGTACCAAAAAGTTCAGTTTCTTCTCACAGATAAAACTGCTGTGCTAATTTTAAAGTTGCTTTTTTTTCTAAAGCATGACTAATTACAACAACAACCTTGCCAAAATAAATAGCTACTTCACTTTTAAAATATGCTTCACAGTAACATTTCCATTCTAAAATACAAGTCATTCCTTTCAGGCAGCTGCAATATAATCTAGAAAAGTTTTATCTACAAGTATTTTTCAAATTTAACTGGCTAATCAGGATTGTTGACTATGTTTTTCCTCGGTGTTTCACAGAATTAGCTAACTGCCTTAAATGGCAGTTTCTTTGTATAACAAAGAGTAATCCGCCTGCTGCATCTCATTCAGTATTTTGCATATCTATAGTATTTTTCCATGCAATAATTTCATTTGGAAAAAAAAAGAAGTCAGCTCATCTCCACAACATGCCTGTGGCAAAGGCTCGTTGTTTACTGATCAAGAGACACAGGCACTGAATTTGCCACACAGACACTGGTGTGGGAAGGTGTAACTATACCACCCTTTCTATAAATGCATGTTAATCAATGTATTTCCAATTTCAGAATCTGTTCCTGAATATTAAACCCAATGTTAGAAATCCCAGTCTTAGTTCACTCACTCAAATAGATCAAGTGGAAGATCAGGGAGTCAAAGAAAAAAAAAATCCAACATGTTCATTTTTCAATCAGATCTTAAATAATAGAAAGTAAAACCAAATACAACCTTCAGGTATTAACAAGAACCCAACGATAAAAGTGAGGCCACTAGATTAGACTATGTACTTCCTGCAAAATATCACCAGGGATTTGCCAATTCAAACATAGAACATGGAAGCAGAGCTGTGCCTTCAGCCCAGTGGGGGACAATACATCAAACCCAACAGCAAGTGCCTGTGATGCCAGTTCTGCAAGTGAATAAACATGCACTTCTGGGAAACTCTCCAATAATTTATCCAGAGAGCAACGTGGTTACTCTGAAATTCAATAGTATAACTGCACTGAAGATTTTTCTTCTATGATAAATGTGAAAAGAAAAAAACCAATGTTTAAAATACAACAGAAAAATTAAGCAGGCAAAAGACTGTCTACAAATTAAAAGAGAGATAATTGAGATAATATAACTCAAGATAACCAACCTAAGCAACCATGCAAAGCACTTTTTCACTAAGCTTTTGCAAGAAGTTACAAGTCTGACTGTTTCCTCACTAACCAGAGAGATTTCTAAGCCAAGGAGTTTGACAAAGAGGGATCACAGAGTTTTTGGAAAATGGAGAATTTCACTCATGTGTGCTCTGAAATGAAAAAGGTTTGTACAAATGAAATCTACAGAGAAAAGGTGTTCACATAATACAGAAAGTTCACCTTTTTGTTGTGGTTTAATTTCCCCTGCTGGACTGGTAAAACTCTCTGGGAATACTTGAAAGATCTCTTGTAATCTTGCAATCTCTTCCCCTTTATAAGGGCTACATACCAAGGTCTTACTAATATAAATCCTAAGGGGAGCCTATAAAAAAATTGACAACTTATTTTCTGCCTATAATAACCCATTTCTTTCCAAGGAACTTTTTTAATCACCCAGCAAAGCCATCATTAAACACTTCACTGTTCATTTAACTCTGTTAAGAAAGTAACAGTCACTGCGAGACGATTATCCACAGCAGAAACAACAAACTTCCAAGGTAGAAGAAAGGAAAATTCAACTGAGAAACCAAAAGCAAAACCCAAGGGAGGAGGCAGCTGTTTAAATTGTCTGATGGTGCCTCTTCCTTAAAAGACAGGCAATCTATATTCAAGCAAATAAGCCAGTGGTTATATCTGATTCAAACTGTGTCTAATGATAGCGTGTCATGGCCCAGCTGAAGCTGGTGGAAAGCACAGCCACCTGACATGATGCAGATTGAAAAATACCTTGTCATTAGGTGGAACCCACTGGAAAGTTAGTGATAAAATTCCCTTTGCTCTGGTGGATAAGATCTCTTGGATGTCTATTTTTGAGTCAAACAGTAATATCAGTATACAGTAGTATCAGTTTGACAAAGACAGAATATGCTTGAATGTTTCCTTTCAAAAATCACAGGAAATAGATGTATGAAGCTAGACTAAGACTACACTCAACACCTGGCAAGCATTAAACATTGATTCTTTACTTCTCAGCTGCCAAAAAAAGTAATTCCTTGAAAAAATTGCTTTCTAAAAAAGAAAAAAAAAACAAACACCAAAAAAACACCAGTATTATTAGCATTTGCAAATTAGGTATTTGGCCTTCTTAAATCTCAGTGAAATTAAAGTAGCTGGAAAATATTAGGAGGCAGTTAATTTCATTAGAAAATGTATGCAAGACTAAAGATCATTTTTAAAAGGAAACAGGTAAATTATTGGGAACAGCACTTATATCTATGAACACTGAAAACCAGTAAGTCATTCTAAAACATTCTGTGCTAAAGGTAATTAAGAAATCTCCTGTTAAGCAGCTTGTAACTGTAAAGTGCCTTCAGCAGTCCAGAGTTTTACTGACAAGCCGGAAGGGGAATTAGAGGAGAGGGTACAAGAGTGGTTTCTCCTGCCTACATACACACCTTTTATTTCACACAACTTGTAACTTTTAGACACGTCTACCTGTCAACTGTCAAGTATGAGCAAAACCAGCCAGGTGCAAAAATAGAATGAGGGAAAGAGTAAATAGGAAAGGTGGATGGACAGAGGGACACAGACAGACTGACTGTACAAGCTTGACTTCTTCTAGAGATCAAACCAAAAATATTATAGAGTTTGCAAAGAACAGTGGATTTACCAGCTGCAGAGCAGAAAGATAAAGCCTACTCCCGTGTTTCAAGACCAGAACCAGGTCCCAAGGCTCAGTGACATGGTTGGAATTCACACCTACTTTCTCATTTCCTATTTAAAATGTAAATTTTTTTCACTTGGGCAAATACACAGAGAATCAGTTTCTTGGCAGTTTTCCAAAAATTTACAATATATTTGGCTTATTTCTATTTTAAAAGGTATAAAACCAGAATATCAATATATAGGGCTTACAGGATGACTGGGTCAGCAGGCAAAAGGGATTCAGTGCTGTCTTCTTCCAGGGCAGCTTTGAGTTTCTTCCCTGTAGCTTTGCTGAGGGACGTTTTAAGCTTCTTTGCTAGTTTCTTAGGAGTGTTTGTTATACATAAAGACTCCTCTGTGCAGCAACTATACACTTCAACCTTCACCTGGAAATCTGGTCTTGCTTCATCGCTGAAGGCGGGGGAGGAGAAAATTTCAGAACATTTGTTAATAAACTGTGCATGCAGCCAAGGAATGCTGCTGCTACTTTATGTATTAAATAACATATTTACAATCAAGGGGAGGAATGCCATGAGATTCAGGCACAGACATACATTAATATGGAATTAAGGACTAGAGTACACAGCAGTAACTTAGCGTTGAAGTCATGAGATGAATGTTATAATTGAACCATAAACAATTACAAACAGGAAATTCAACGTTTAGGTTAAAAACTGAAAAAACCAGCCCATGTTATGGAAATACACAGGCAAGACATTCAAACACACTTAAATCTGCCCTCTACTGTTACACAAAAATCACATGATTGAAAACCTATCCGTATCTATGGTCCTAAATCATATTGAACTGTTTTAAAGATATCTTAGTTGCACCCCACACCCTTCACATTACTGAAAAAGATCCTATCTTGCTTAGATCTAATGAAATCTGTCGTTCATAACGCAACTACCCACTGCTGCATCCTCCTGTCCACAGCCTTTCGCTGTTTTCAGTTCTACTGATTCTTTTGTTCTCAACCTTAGTCATCAAACCAGAAGCCCAGTCTCATCTTTCAGGTACAAATCATGTCATGACACAGATGCCCATAACAAAAGCATGCCAAAAGCTTTTATAACAAGTCTTTCTTTATCCTGGGGGATACAAGGCGAGTCAGAGTGCCTTTTCTACTTTTGTTGCAGTATTTCACAGAAACTCATAATGGTAAGTCTCATATCTTTGAAGAAGCTGATTTAAATCTTTGTCCCCACTCTTAACTGGAACAGATGTTTAAGAGAGTTTAAAATCTGATTTAAACTCAGGATCTTGATTTAAAGTTTGTGGTAGTTCTGGCTTTCATGTTCAGTCTTCCTCAGGAGATTGAATCTAAATTGTTGATATAAAAAATAAAGGGGGGGAGGGGAGTTAAGCACATGCTCAGATAGGTGTGACAGAACATGAGGTGTTACAGAACATGAGGTGTTACATGAGGAATGAGATTGTAGCCTGCTGTATAGAATAACACTTAAAACACTGGGTGCGATGTTGATGCCTATACTTTCATAATGCTTTCAGGTTTTAGCATCAATTTAATTCAGTCCTTGAGATATAAGTTTATCTCTTTATACGAAGAAAAAGGCTTCAGCATGGCAAAAATGAAAATAAAGAGAAGGAATGAAAACACTGAGTGGCACATCTAGAACCAGCATCATCCTGTACACAAAACCCAGCCTTCCAGAGGTGGGGATGCACCACCCACTAAAATGAACAGAATCTCTACCGATTCCTTGGCCCACAGCAAAACCTAGTGGACCTCAGCCAATCTTATTCACAGGCACTTTCAAAAGAAAACAGCAATATTTGTGCTTCATTCAACAGAAGTAAATTATACTCACAATATGGTTACATTTTCAAAACAGATGTCTGTTATTGCTTTATCCACAATGATCACCTCAGTATCAAAAACCTCAGCTCCCATTCTGAACAAACAAAAAACTGCATAGCGCTGTGATTCTGGAGAGAGCCAAAGAAAGGTTTTATTAGCCCTATTGCACAACACAGTGCTGAACACTTCCAGTAAACAAAAGTATACTAAATGGTAATCCACACCTCTAAGGAATTGCCCCCAAGTTCTTCTCACCATAAATTTTCATCATAGGATTTTATGATAATTGACCTATCAAAGCTGCTGTATAGGTAAAACAACATTCACAGAGGGAAAAAATACCTACCCCTATGAATAAAGAAAAAAAACCAGTTGAGTAATCAGGTGTAGTTTGTGCTAGCAACTTCAAAAATGTTAGTAAAAATGTAATTTTGTTTAATAAAACTAATTGTACCAAAAAAAAACCCCAACGACCTAACATTTGATCCAAAGTCTGTATCATTTTATGAATGTGCTATGTAGGATTAGACTATTTTGCCATGCTTTGCCCCTCTGACCCTATTGAAAATCAAAGTGAAATCAATGCCAGGTGACAGCTGGAACAGATTTCAGGTTAATCTCCATGACACAGCAAAATGAATGTACTTGAAGACTACCCGATAATACACTCAACACCAACAGACAACTTTCATTTAAATTTCTCACTGGAAACAGGCTGCAATATACTCTCCCAAGTGTAGAAAAGACATAGAACAATGTGTTTAATCAGAAGTTTCTCAGTTAACCATTTAATAACATTTTTTTATTGCTTCCTCTGCAATTAGTCTCTTCAGAGACTAGAGTTTAAACATAGAGAAGCACAGGACTGAACTAACTCAGCTTGCTACAACCAACTTCAAGTTATGAGCATTTACACAACAAAGAGCAAAATATGGACCTAATGAAAGGTCAAAGAAGGGGTTGAAATGAGTATGGACCTCCCCATTCAGGTCAAATTTACAGGCATAAGCAATTGCTTATCAGAGTAATTAATAATGATCTTACATACTTTCTTTATTGCTGAAGTGATCAGAGCCTTTCCACATTAATGGTATCCGAATATCTAAAGGGGGAAAAAAAAAAAGATGGGGAAATTAAGTTACAGTCAATACTGTAGATCTGTGATCAAAACAAGTTACAAAAAGTTTCTTGTTTCTTTTTCTGATGTTCTGGTGGTAACAGGACCTTCCACCCAAAGAACAGCGTAATTATTTTAAGTCTATTAGTCATTTCAAAAGAAAATTCATCGATTTGAAGTGTCATTTTTGTTTAGAAATTAAGCTAGAATAAAGAATATTTTAAATCTCATTTGAAAGTACCTAAAATAACATTTCAGAGTGGCTGTGCAACATAGTTCTGAGACGTATTCTCTGAGGCCATTATTATGCATACATGTAAACTGAAACTCTGCTTGCCTTGTGCTGGAAACTACTCATCCCACTGCAAGAGGAAAGCCTTCCTGTTTTAATGAAAAGACTGGGATACTTATATTGCAAACACCTAAGTCTTGCTTTGCTAACCACAGAGAAAATGCCACTTGTAATCACAGTCCCAGTTAGAATTGTCTTAGTCGGCATAAAAAGAGTTTGAAAATCTTTTTTTTTTTTTTACCTCAAAAACATCGTTCTACTTCAGAACCATAGCAGAGAGGCAATTACAGAACCATTATTTTAAATCATGCCTGTCATTTTAATATTAGGAAAGTATTTTCTACAATAAATTTTCCAGTTTATCTGCTCAATCCAACACAGCACTGAGTGACATTTTCCTCCAGTTCTGAGGAATCAAGTTTAGACAATGTTTCTTATTAGTCCCTTGTCAAAAGACAAATGCAGCGGTGGGGGCTTTATAAACCCAAAGTTGGATTCTGACGTACAACGGTGCTGTTTAGAAGTACGTGCAATATATTAAGTGACACATGATGGCAGCAGTGAACAGCACAAGCTCAGTTGTCTTTTGATAAAACCCTTAAATAGTGTTATAAAGGAGCATTGCTGGCTCCAGAGTTGATCTTCATATGAGGCTGATGGAAAAATCCACATACAGTATGCTAAGATGTAAAACAGTGGTGGCATTTTGGCAACACGTTGTCATGTATTCCTACAGGGGTTTGCCCACAAAACTTCCTGTTGATTTAAGTGAAACCGCATAGTCACTCTGTCCCAGAAATTAAATGAAAAATTCAAATTTAAGTTAATTTTGATTATGAGACGTATTATTGTAAATGCTATGTCAATTCTGAAAACTTGAAATTCAGTTGTTTCTAACCATTCATGAAAACTAATGAATTTTCCAATGAACTGCCAGCAGGCAGCTTTAAACTGTCACAACTTCCTAAAAATCAATACATCACCATGTTCCGAAACTGCCTTTCACTTCTAAAGATGCATTTGCATTGTAACCATTTCTAATTATTTTTTTAATAAAGAGAATTAGTTTCATTAAAACCATTACAGAAGCCTCTCTCAAACTTTTAAAATACATATATTTATGTCTGTCATTGATAAAGCACAGAATGTTTCTTTCTAAAAAGACGGTCTTAAATTTACATAAACACATGAAAATAGTTAAAAATAAAAGCCTTTTTTCCTCTTTAATCATAGCAAACTCTGAATGACAATTTCAATGCACTCAATAGGCCTTGTTAGCAATTAGAGTACTAGATTAAAGATTACTTCTGTATGCCACTTTCAGTATCTTGTTGCTGAAAATTTTATATCTTAGTGAGAAAATCATCAGGACATAGATAGTCTATCACTTGGACAAGTTTAACACAATAATTGTACATCAGTTTTCAATTCATTCTTGGATTGAAAGAACTGTCATTTATCAAAAACAAAGATCAATTTTCACACACCTTAATTTCAGTTACCATTAGCTGTAAATCCATGTGGATGCAAATTGGATACATTCAAGCATCACATTTAATCAAATTTAAAGCCAATGATTCCTTTCTGAAATGACTGTAAACCATGATCATGCTTTTTGATCAACATTTAATATACTGTCTTGTGACAAACAAAATCGATTGATACGATAACATAAATTATGTCATTTATTCACAAGTGTGGGGGATAAGTAAAAATGATACAAGTGTGAAAATCTGGATTAAAGAACACACTCCCCACACAGTATCCAACATACTTTCTGTAGGAGCACTTTCCTCAGTAGTCCTGTAGAGCTATGCCAGAATTTTTGGTGCTGGTCACATGACTCACCTTTTTTTGGTAATAGTCTTAAGCTTCAGGCATGTACTAACCGTATATGATGTGCTAATGGATTTATAAGTGGGTGGACTACTTGATGGTGGAAATTGAGGGTTTAATAACAGGTGATCTATAGAAAAAACCTTATTTCTCATACTAAAAATAGAGTCCTTAAAAAATCTGATTTTCTAAAGATAGCAGAAGTGTATTATTATGACCACCCTAAAGTCTTCACTGCAGATAACTCTGCAAATCCAAAGGAAGGTGCAACCACAGCACAGACAAACAGATGCTTTCATCCAACTACCATAAGGAGGAAAGACAGATACACATTCTGCAAACAGCTGTGCTGGCAGAAAACATTATTGAACCATGTGCTCATCACTCTTCTTCTACTAGAAGTTACCTTGCTTAAAGATATGACAAAATATTCAGAATTAACTGAAACAGTTTCAGTAGTCAGCCCTTCTACACTATTTTATTCTTAATGAGGCAGGTCAGAGAGCACAAACAGATCTGTTAGTAAAGCTGGCAGCACAGCCACAGGAATGCTGAATGTGGTAACATCCACTACTGGCACAGGCAAACAAACTGATAAATCCACAGCACTGAAGTTTGAGAACAGGCTAGGAAACAGTGTACCAGCCCACTAGAAATCACTGTTAAATATTCTTGTCACTAGCCTGCATTGAAGCCATACCACTATACCTTTGCTATAGTCATGTAACCTGCATTACCTGAGTAACATTTGCATACTATAGTTCTGCCCTCAATTTCTTGGACATATCCTGTACTATCACTTCAAAGTCCGTGGTTGTGGGGAGAAAGAAGTTTTCAGCACACTCACACTTATTTAGCTTTGAAATGCATTCAGTGTTTAGTGGTAAACAGAAAAAAAGTCTTTCCCTCTGCGGAAGGTCCTGTAAGTAAAACAGAAATACAAGGTATGTATTTCACACACATGTGTGTGACTTTAGCACAAGTTCCCTTGAAGCACTAGGGGATTTATACCTCTGAACCACAGACGCACTTTAAAAATCCCATATTGTTTGTATAGTTTGTATTACAAGCCACTGCCCAGCCAATTAGCTCCTATAATAGAGTGACTACTCAGCCACTTACCTGATATGGCAACCTTTGCTCTGCATGCCACCCGGTCTTTTGTCCCATTTTCTGAAGACCTGGCAAAAAAGAAGAAAAGAAAAACATGATTTGAGATCTGTGCATTTAGATATCTAAAACACAACTCTTTAAACACCAAAAAGTGTCAGTCTTCATATCACAGCTCATTTCAAGTGCTTTTTTTTAAAGTTAATTTTGGTATCTCTGGTCTAAGACATGAGTCATTAGTTTCCTAAGGATAATCTAGAAGGAAGGTACACCATCAATTTTCTTAATTCCCTAGAAGATTTTACTCCAAAGCTTATATAACCTGAGTATTAAAAGACAAGTAGATTCATCTTCCGTGTCTTTTCCAGCTCCAACAGGACCAAATATCAGTTTTTCCCTTCTGTACGCATCAGCGGAGATGCAACTTAATTAATCAGTTCTATTATTGTTTAGAGAATTGCCTCCTCCTCTATTAATAGAGACTTATTATAAAACGTTGCATTTTAATTTTCCATGCAGGCAGTTTGCTGTAGACCTCAAAGTCAACCTTAAATTGAATAAAAAAAATATCTGTGGATAATGAGTAACAAGAGCGCTCTCCTCACCTCTGCCACTGCTCCTAACACCTAACCAGATAAGGAGAAATGAAAATTTCTAGCTGCTACCAGTATCATGACTTCCAGAGGCATGAACAGAACATCTTTGCAACTCACTGATTACAGACCCACACAAGAAGTAACAGGAACAACATCCATTTGAAAACCCTAGAGTGAGAAAACTCAGTCACGATTAAGCTATAACCAAATTCCAGTCTTGAACAAACACCAAAAGAAAGAACTGCAGATGGACTATCAACTATCAAAGATACAATTTAAATGATAGAGAAATAACACCATAGGATGCACCTCTTCTAACGATCTCCACTGAAAACTCCAGGGATTTCTGAAGCCCGAACTTTAAGCAGTGCATGACAGTCACAAATCAAGCAAACAATACAGTTGTTCACATACATCTCCAAATATCTCAGCCCTGTTCCAGATATATGCCATCACCATTCTGTGGTCACTGACATCAAAGACAAGGAGTTGAGTAAATCAGCATATATCCATAGTTGATATTATTCCATCACTAAAAACATAAATAGTGAACCACTATAAAGATCTTCACCTTAGTAGGCAAAAGCAATACATCCACAATAATTACAGAATACCACATGTATTACGTGCTAGTTTTCAAAATCAACTTTCAGAAAGAAAGTTCTTTCCTTCAACAAATTTCTCCTATAAAACCACATTTCTGAAAGCAAAAAGTAGCAGAACTGTTCCCACAGATACAATTAACTGGAGCCAAGTGTGTATCAAAGATTTTCTATGTTAAACTGCAATATAATATTCCATTAAATTAATAACCTGAGAGCAATAGTGTCTCTGTACCATGATTCTCAACATTGCATCCAAAATATTCGATTAGGCAAAAGAATTATAACATTAATCATATAAAACACGTATACTTTAGCTCCTTCAAGAGTTATAATGTGAAAATATTTTCAACTAATTTTTCTTCCTATTCAGTGTTGTTTTTATCAGTTCGCTGTAGTTAACACAAGTGGCCAGCAGAGGGTACCAATTAACCATGATAGTTCCCTCATTAAAGGGCCCTTAGTAGCAATAAAAGGAAAAGTAGAAATACTTCTATTCTGACCTGGATAGCTTTGTTTTGTTCCTTCAGACTTGGACAGGTACCTTTCTGTATGCTAAAGGTAATCAAGAAAATATGACTATTGTATTACTTGGTACTGAATTACAGTTTAGTGTCAATAATCTACCCAGAAAAATATGACTAGTATTTAATTTTCTAAAGTAAAAAGAAGATTATGGAATGGTCTTATAAAGTAACGTTTTGAGGCAGCTGTAATTTATGGTTATGTGGGGGAAAAAGAAAGAAAGAGTTTAAAGGAAGGATTTAAATCCACTTTTCTTAAACAGGCTGCTAAAAATTCACATTAAAAAAATGCCTGCTTCACACTGCTGCCTTTGCATTTGAGCTGTCATTAACTCACTGCTCTCCAGCTCTGCACGGGTCTGGCTCTCCTGCATGGCTCTGTAGCTGTGTCCTGTACGCCCGTATCCGAGCATTGCAGACCATCAGGCTCTTGACCGCACGCAGGAGCTGGTCCTTCTGGGTGCTCACTGCCAGCAGTTTGCAGATGCCCTCACGCATCCGGATCTCAAAGTCAATCTTCTCCTGGATGTCACGTTCCTAGAGGTGCAAAAAATAACAAGAGGTTAAACAAAACAACAACTAACAATATCCCTGAATTTTTAAAGGCTCTTTTTATTTCACAGTTGGGATAGAAAACTCTAGGTTTTAATTATGAGCAGCTATTGCAATGATTAGTGAATGTAACAATGACAGTTCTCTCTTCGGGGACAAAAGAGTAAAACAAGGGATGCAACAGATTCACTATATCCATTATACATGAAAATTCCAAACCAGGCAGTAAGATGAATTCACTGTAGCATCTGAAAGTTACTCGTGTCATTCACAGAAAAATAACATGGTCTTTGAGAGGCCTAACTGAACCAAACTTATAAATTAACACCCCACTTTTTGCAGTTATCCCTATTAAATAAACTTTAAACTGAGAAAAATGTCTTAAATATTTTAAATCAGAAATTCAATCTCATTACCTCTTTGGCCATCTGAAAAAGAGTGAAGAAATATGAGGGTTTTTCACTTCCGGTTGATATAAAATTCAGGCAAGAGAAGAAGCAAAAATAAAGGAGACTATTCCAATATTTGACTGTTTCAGGTCATGAACATGTTTCAGGTCAGACAACTGTGGTAGCTTCAACCCTATACAGGGATCATGACATGCACAGTTTTCATTCAAAGTATGAAATAAGCTATACTTGCCTGAAAGTCATTAGAATTCTGCATCACTGTTTTTTGAAGGAGTAGGATGTTTTTAAAGGTATTATAAAAACTTCAGGAAAGTTAGCTTTTTCCTGCCTACTTTCAGAGAAAACAAACATTTATAAATGACTTGCTACTTCAAAGAGGTCAGTCCACACCGATCCAGAAGATAATTAACGTGAAGGATCACACACAGTTTACTGTCTCCCAATGGTGTGCTTAGATGCCACTGATGACTGATACAAATTTCCCTGTTATGTGGCCATTCCTGGCCAAACCAAATATTACTAGCACATGAAGAACAATGTTATCACTGTATTGCAGGGTAGCATTGCAAATAAATTGCAAGTCAGTGACTAGTGAAGCTTTGTCAACACTAAGCAAGTGTCCCAGCTACATCTGGAATTGCCAGGATCGTGTCAGTTTTCAAGTTTACAGTCTGAACCCAAAACAAGCACTTGGGCAGTGGATCTATAAGCAGTTGTCTGAAACTTGCGGTACAGTTTCTCATTTTCCTCAGGTAATAAAGGAGGTGGGTTCCTCTCACCCATGATGATAAAGACCCCAGGTTTATGCAGCCAGGCAAAGCAGGACAAATATATGTCCTATGAATCTGCCAGCATTTAAGGCAATTTAGTCACACAGTGAGAACGCAGATGATGAGTAGACACCACTATGACAGAGGAAGCTAAGGTGTACAGAACTCTCCAGAAAATAACAACTCTCAGTCAGAGACCCCATGAGAAATGCCTGGAACGCACACGGGTTACCATGACACAGGCTCTCTGGCACCAGTGGGTTGTTTTGTGGTGAATAGCTCCCAAATGTCTTATCAGAGGTGTTTTCCATAGAAGTTCTGCTGGTATTCCCTACAGTTGATATATGAAGGCCTGGAACCAGTACGGCACCATAGGCTATCCAAGTTTTCTCCCTCAGGGATTTGCTTTTTAAAGTTTCAGTCACAATCAGAGTAGTATAAAGCAGGGCACCAACACCTCTGCATCCCTAGCATCTGCTTCTCTAGCCACATTTTTTTTTCAGGACTCTTCCCAGGAAAAAAAAAAAAAAAAGAGAGCAATAAATAGCTTTTGTCAATCTTCTCTTATTCTGATTCAAATTTTACACAGTTATGAAAACCTAAGCCAGGCCTACACCTGGCCCTAAGAAATAATTACTTATTCTTTAAGCCTATGCTTATAAATCAGCTGCTACAAAGCACAGAAGAAGAAAATAGTACTCCCTCCTAATATTTCCCAGGACAGTAGCCCCTGCTCCTCTCCACATCTATCACCTGGTACATAAATATGGTGAGGAAATAAACACTCCTAGTTTGGGGCATCTGCATGTATCCATACTGGGACTTTCAGAACCATGCAAAGCATTAGTCCACGTTACATCTCACATAAAAAAATTCCAGACTAGCAGTAAATGGCTGTTGGGCCACAGCTTAAATAACCACACCATATAAATCTCGTCTGAAGGAAGAACTTAGCAGCCTGATTTGGAATATATAAAGTTCTTTGTGCCTAGCAAAAATGATTGGTCAGCTTTTCTTTCTTTTCCCATTCCTTCTAAAAATACGAGCACACCATCTGGACTTGGAGGAACAACTCAGCACTGTTTTGCCATATGCTGTCTACTAATGCACTGTTTCCCTCGTGGTCTCCATCCTTCCCTACCAGCAGCAGCACAACACAGACAAGATTACTAACAGCTGCTGAAATTTTCAGCCCCATACTCAGGAACTGCCTCAGTAATACTTCCAGAAAGTGTCTTTATATTTCCCACCTAACTATACCAAGTATAAGAAATTTCAAAGGATTTCTAGTTTTACATAGGTAATTGCAGTCACAAAACAACCAAAGAATTCCAACAAGAGCTAAGAAAAATTATATGGATACTGCTGAAGGCAGGACAAATTGAAATTTTAGTTCATTTAATTGGTAACTTAATCACAGGCTTTCAGAATCTTATTCCAAGGTACACTTCTGATTTACCACCACAGTGGCTTACATCTAAACCCTGTAAGCAAGTAGCCAGGCAGTGAGTATTCTTCTAAAACAGGGGCTGTGAAGTCAAGACATCAGCTTGTGCACTTTGCAGCTCAACACCGGAATGAGCGCTTGCTGCAATTGGCAGCCACAGCTTTACAGGCGCTGCCGAGTTCAACCAATTCAGATTTGTAACTGATTCCAGGTTTAAAAAGACACAGCTCATTGACCGGAAAACCAGCGGCTGAAAGACCCAAGAGGTGGAAGGACCAGCTCCGAGCACGGGCGGAGGGTGAGCGGGGAGCTCAGCCCTGCTGTGCCGGGGCAGCCCGCGGCCGCCACGGACCCGCCCAGCTCGGGGGCAGCGCAGCTCCCGTGCCCCGAGCACCGCCCGCCACACACCCGCACCGCACACGGACATCGTCACTACTGCCCTCGGGCATGCCTCGGTGCGGGGGTTGCGTTGCGTTGCCCCTGCCCCTGCCCCTGCCGCATCACCAGCCCGCCGGCGCTGCCATCCTCATCTAATGTGCTCAGTCCTCGTCTCCGCCGCGCCGCCGTTCCAATACTCCCGCCCACCGGCAACGGCCGCGGCTGGACCGCCCCCGCAACCGCACCGCATCCGCACCGCCGCCTCCCCCCGCCCGCCCTAGCCTCGCACCGCCCCTCGCACCGCCCCGCACCGCCTGCCCCGCAACCTCCCCGGGCAGACCCTGACCGGGACACCGCTCACGGCCCTGAGCACCCGTGTGGCTCTGCAGGGACACCCGCAGCACTGCCATTAGCGCTACGGACTGCTACTGACCGCGGCATTAACCCCGGGGTGCTGAAATGAGTGAGATATACAGTGTTGCTAACAGCTTTCTACAGAAGTCTCCAGGCTAACATATGCTTATTTAAAATATAAGAAAATGCAGTTAGAAGGGAAAAATTTAAAAACCTCATTGCTTGATCAGGATTTCACATAGCTGCTCTGCAGCTCTGCTTGCCCCTTGACATTTACAACTGGGGCTTAAATGCAGGAGGTTAGCCTTGATGGAAAAACAGGAACTTCTGGACCAAAGGTATGTATTCCTTGTTGCAAGGCAGAGGACAGGGAGCTCTGCTTCCCTCCAACTTGCTCAAGTGTCACCTGGAGGCAGAAGTGGCAGCAGCAGCTGTTCAGCAGTTCCTGTCTCCATCTTGGGCCACGTTTCTTAGTGTAAGGAGGCATTCAGAGCTTCATTAAATACCTTCATCCTGTCCTGAGGTCCTCTGTGTACCACTGGCAAGATGCATGCCCCAGCTGGGAAGCACTACCCTAGGTTATTTATTTATAGGCACTACCTTTTTTTCCCATGTTTAGATACTCCCTTCTGTTCTTTAGGTACTGTGACTTTCCCAAAATTAGTCTTTCTGCAGTACATCCAGTGGAGAAATCCCATCAGGGAGCCAAAAGGCTTTTGCTTAATCGAAGTATGATACTTAGAGTTGTATATAAACAGCCAAGATATCTAGAAGTGAGTTTGAGGGAGACTGGAAGGAAAGTCTCCATCTAATCTTGGTGCTTCCTGTGTCCCAGCATGAACCTTGGGTTTCCATCTCTGCTGCAAAGTTCAAGATTTCAGATACATCAAGAGAAATCCATCACACAAGGGGAGAACATGAGATGCCAAATCAGAATGCCCTTTTGAATCACAGTAAGGCTTATCTCTTAAGATGTGGTCTGGTCTCCCCTGAATCAGTCAGGGATGGGATTTGAGGCTCAAAAATCTCCAAGTGATTTTCTAGGCTACAGAAAAAACTAGAAACAAGAGCACGTCATGTAGTGGAATTGAACAAAACAAGTGAAAGTCTCAAGTTAACTGAACTGCATCATCCTTGAAACAATGTTTGACCAAAGTAAGTGAGGGTACAGACTCAACAAATATCGATGGCTGAAACCCTTTGATGAGTTTGATGTAAAATCTGGGAGCAGCTGGAAATGATAACCTTACTGTAGAGATAAACAAATAAGGAAAGAATTACTGTAACTCTACCTTGCCAAAACTCACTCACCAACTCATAAGATGGTGCACTACCTCAGAAAACTAATGCAACCTGTGAAAAAGACACATCAGAACACTTCCCACACAGCACTATCTCAAGCAGTTCAGGTTAGACTCCTGGTTCAAGCCTGAAACCCACTGGTTCAATCTTTCCAGAAACACTCCCTGCCAAACTCCTGAGAACAGCACCGAAAGGGTTTTGTCAAAAACCAGAGTGGCTACACGGATGCAACAAAAATCACTGCAAAAGGACAAGTAATGCCCAAAATTATTCCAGGCAATCAGCATCTTTAAAGCCGTTTTCGCTGGTGGTGTAGATGGTTCCCAGGAATCTGTGGCAGCAGTTCAAGAATTTTAGGAGCTAATTAGCATGGTTTTGCAGTACAGTCTGCTCAGTGAATACTAACCTTAATAAAGCCCAAAAATGTGACTGCTAGCAGCATAAAGAGCCCATGCCTGCAGCCCTTACACGTTCCTGCTGACATTGACTTGAATTGGAACCCTTAAGAAAGCAGTGGGAGCTAAATGTGTAGGACTCAGCCCTAAGCAACACAAATAGTGTCTTCCCAAGCTCAGTGCATACCTGCTCTTCAGCTGCTTCAAATGTCCAGTTTTCCACTACATTAGGAAAATGTTACTGCAAAGTCTGGCTTTTCACACTCTTGTACCTGCTTCTGCTTTGGTCCCCCTTTGTATTCACTTTCTGGAGACATTCAGGTTTTTTGTTATAAAATTCAGCGGATCAGAGGCTTAATTAAAAAATTAAACGTTTCACCAGACTTCTAGCTCTGTCTTTTAAGGGAACATGAGACTGAGGCTTTAAAAGGCATTTCTGCAGGTTTTGGATGAGGCGAGATGTTCTCTCCGCACTGCAAGTCTGACTCCAACAACACTCTCCTGCTGCTGCAGCAGCACACAAAGTAACTTAAAAATGAAGAAGGCTTTGTGCCATCTATGTTATGCAGAGATTTGGGATTCAGCTAGCAACTATTATGCTCCCTAATTGAAGAGTAATTCCAGCAGACAGCAACAATCAAAAAGGAAGCATTGTAACCATGTTTTTTTTATCTCCAGAGAAGCCTCCACTGAAGGGCAAAGAAACCCAAGGCACAACCTACAAAACAAGGAAAATCCTGCACAGTCACTGCTGCTAGAGCAGAGAAGTCGTAATGGGGGCATAGGGTGAATTAAATAGGGGATCTGTATCCTGCCTTCTGGGGTTTTTAAGTGAAACATTTTTTTCAGATGAATCACACCATCTTTTCATTTGCCACTCGATTTGCATTGCAAAGCATTTGGCTTCCTTCTAGTATTAGGGAAACTGGATGGCAGAGGAAAGATCACTGTCTATCTAAATCACTGTTCTGCTCAAGTGTTAGATCAGCATATTATTTTAAATGTTAGGCCCATCATTTTGGTTTAGCAGGTACAAAATATCTACACCTACTCTTGACAGCACTGCAGTATTTTTCTTAATTTCTTAGTTCCCACAGCTTGCTACACCTACTCCTTGAATATCATCAGTGTGCCAGTAGAAATCTATTCAATTCCTCTTCAGATTTATCCTCTTCAGATTTAGCCTAAATGGAGATATATGAAGATTTGTACTGGACACATGGGAAAGAATTTGCAAAGGCTTTTTATAATTGACTTATTTAAACCGAAAAGCGAACTGTTGCCATTGATTGCCACTTACTTTGATTACTATGGTATGTGACCATTGTAGATTGCTCCAATGGGCAGAGACTGGAATTTAGGGTGTTTACCTCAATGCTTACTGGAGCCTCAGTAACTCATTTCTCCATTGCAGCCTGCTGAGGTCAGTTGAAGCCTTTCCATTCTCGTAGCTGGGCAGAAAGGCAACATGTAGACCTACAAAACAAATTAAGTATGGGTAATACCTTACTGTAATGAACTTCAGTTTCAGTTTTGATTAGATAAGGTGAACATTAATCACCTGGCCAATGACAGTGAGCTAAAGCCCAACCCCATCAAGGTGAAAGCAATGATAAGAGAAAACTTCGTGAGCTCCATCTTACCTACCTGAGCAGTGTGAAGAAGGTATCTTCTCTAGGGTAGTCATGGAGCCAGTCGTTGAAGGCATCATCCTGTAACATACAGGTGTCTAAATCAGCTAGGATGCATCATCCTTACCTTTCCTGGATAAATAGACACAGAGGCCAGAACATACTAGAATAAACTCTTACTATTTCTGGTGTTCTCAGATTAATTTTACACCGAGAGCTTTCTCATCTTCTGCTCAAGGTTTTTTAGTGTTCTGCAGTCCTCCATCCAGTGCTCCCAATGGCATGGGGGTCGCATCTCTCTATGATGCCACCAGCAAAACTTCGATGCCAGGTGCTTCAATGAACTATTTTTCAATCATTTTATGTTCCCATAGGATTTCTAAAAGAAACTGTAGAAGGCTAAAAAAGTATGAGGAATTATTTTTCCTTTTTCCAGATAAGATTCCAGAAACTGACTCCTCAAAGTATTCCTGACATCAACCAGATCTTGAAATGCCTCCAGATCGAATTACTGTAGCCTTTTTAAGTCACCATGTATGAGATAAATGCAATCAAAATACTTTTCATAACAGAAATTGTAAGTTACAAAAAATCCACCCCCATATGAATTTGGAAAACAGTTTCTGAGATCAAACCTGAAAACCTTAAAAATCAAATTAAACACTGCATGACTTTGAACTGCAATTTGATCATCCTCTAGGTCTTAAAGTTGCTCCTGCACAAGACAGGTGATGAAGGGTGGTTGACTGAGGTAGACCAGTCACATGTTTTCCTGTGTCTCTGCTTGAGAGAACTGGGGCACTGGTTTTGAAGCCAATTCACGTGATTCCCACACAGGTACAGAATCAACCCCATCAGAAGTATCCTGTTGGACAAGGATCCTCACTGGTGACTGACAGCTTCACTAGAAACCTTTCTCCAGCTGAGAAGACAATGTACACGCACAGTGTCTAACAAAGCATGAGTTTTTGCAGCCTTTCCCTAAGCTTAGAAATTTATATGGTCTCTCTTTTCAATTCTACTTCGTATCTCAACAGCTGTTGAATGAATGAAATTATCTTTAGTTCCTTTCAAAATCAAAGCTGGTTGAAATTGGCTGCTTGGATCCACTGCTAATAGGAGGACATTTATACAGACAAAGAAATTATGGTCATGCAAAGATGATACTGCTATGGAAACGCAGAGAGGTCCTTTCAGCTGCTCCATATTAAGGGGATGTTCAGTACAAGAAGATTCTCCTAGAGATTCTACAGCGTCACTCCCATGGCATGCTTTTGACTAGGATTCCTCTGTTGAGTGAAGACTCCTGCTTTGGTTTCTTGTGCATTACTGCAGGTGGTGTTTGTTGTATAAAGTCTCTATCTGAGACAGCTGCATCCAGCTGTTTGCTGGGCAGCGAGCTGCTGGAGTCACCAGTTTGTGTCATGGGAGAATCTAACTGGGCATTCTTTATTTTCCAGTTTCAGGATCAGGTCTGTTATGATTTTCCCCAATTGATATTGCACAGGCAAGTTAAAAGTCACTGGGTCATTTAAATGGATTTCCATTTTGAATTTGAAAGGGGGAATAAGTGCACTGAGGATATCATAGATCTAAAGATAGACTCCCATATGGGAAAATAATGACAGAAAATCACCTTCCTTTTGATAGGCAGAGGACTACCGTGTATTGCTTGGAGAGCAGATGCAGGCCCACTTCTTGCAACAATCTCCCAGGAAAAAGGAGCAATTCTCCAAGTTGGCTCTGGGATTGACTTTTTTCTTTTTTTTATTTTTTTTTTTTGTCTGGAGGTAGATACAGGCTGAGTATCTGCAGATTGTCTCTGTTTTTCCCACACAATTTAGAATATCTCTGCAGAAAACAATACTTGGCAAACAGACTCTGCCTGAAGTGAGTTTGTAGTCTGGTCTGATTTTTTCCAAGTACTGGAATGTAGGTGTCTAGGGAGAGAAACATGGCACTGCAACGTGCTCTGAAGGCCAAGCAACATAAGCTGCCCTCTGTGCAGCCACAGGCACTCAAGCTCCCCCTGCACTGCAGCATTGATGAGGAAGAAAATTGTGATTGTCCCTTACCAAGGCACATCTTGGGGTGACAGCTGTTGTCCCAGGTAACTGAGGCACAATAGCCCAGTGGACTAGTGAATCCATTTCTTTGCATTTCACACACTTTTTGGATTGTTTTGTTCCTGCCTCAGGGAGGATTTTCGAAGGGGCACGGGTAGAGATCTATACTTCACTGCAAAATCTCACTTTGCCCCAAGAAATGTTCCTCGTCAGTAAGAGATTGGCTTGTCTCAATAGTTTTCCCCATTACACTTGGGGCTATAACCATCTGCAGCTCTGCAGTTTTTCCTGCCTTGCCACAGAGCTGCAGTTTTTCTGCATTTTTCTAAGTCCTGAGTTGGGTTCCTCTGGATCCCTTTGCCCACCCACGGCGTGGGGCGGCCCAGTTCTAGTTCCGTCTCCATCTGAGGAACCATTCCAACGTCTTGAAGGATAGGGAAAGGGAACTCCAGCATCAGGGGTTTCTTCAGGCCCTGAGCTTGGAGGGGAGAGGTGCCCTCCCCTCCCCCCACGCACGTGGTTCCATGGCCAGCACGGAGACAGCACACGGGGCGTGGAGAGGAGGCAAGAGAGAGTTTATTGTTGGGGGGGTTACATTTATAGGGTTTAGGAGGATTCACAAAGTAACCAATTAGAAGTCTCAAGGGGCTTACAGGAACACCCAATCACAGGAAGGGGTTATCAAGGTCCAATGAGAACACCTCAGGACACCTTCGCAGGACATTCCTGAGATAACACTACCGTGGGGGGTCTTCAGAAGAAGAAACACGTGTTTGCAAAGAGACCACAAAAAACCATTTTAAGACATGTTTAAACAACAGTTTTCCCATATAATGCAGGTTTAGTGCCACAGGTTCCAACTGCATAAACAGACATTTGTCGTATGGATCAGGCCAAGGAAGAGCAAGCCAAAGAAAGAAGGCAAATGTTATTTCATGAAAATATAACAGTAAAAACCAAATAACATCTCAATACTATCAATATAGTTATTGATATGTGCAACATAATAACCATTTGTGGTTGGAAATTTCTATCCGAGGTTTTAAAACCTCTGGCCCGTAAGGGAAATCTGGCTTGCAAATTATGTCCTGTTTCTTACAGATATAGATACTGAAAAAATAGTGAGCAGTTTATCCACTCAAGTGCTTGAATAAATACATCCACAGGGATAAGAGGATTTAAATTTTTTAGATCTGACAGTTAATTTTCCATTCTGAGCATCCCTAGTCCCTGTGTCTCCACCAAACTTCTCCCTAAATCCAATCTCTGCCCCTGTGTGGAGTGCAATACCTCTGTGAAATAACTTGCTTCCATGAAACCTCAGAAGAGCCATATTGTAACAAAAACTATTTGCCACGGCACAGCAGATTCCGGGACCCCATTAGAGTGGTAAGGCTGTTCCTAGGAATAACCCCAGTGTCACAGACAACAGTTTTTATACAGGTGATGATTTTTTGCTGAATCATTGCAGAGTTGGATTGAAGTTGTCCACATGTACGAGGAACTAAAATATTGTTTTATAAGGTGGAAAGATCTAAGGAGAGAAACTTACTGCAAAAGACACTATGTCCTGGGAACGCCCCCCAGCTGAGGTGATGGGCCACACACCTTCTCTTCAAGCTCACCATGGCTTCACAGAGGAAAACCAATCCAGCTACTTCTTCCCTTGCTCCAGTTCCCCTTGAAGTCAAACCATGGGAGAGGATGGAATTGGGTTGTACCTGTGCTCTCCTCAATGTGAGACGGAAACATTTCTTGCAAATGATAGTATTTTTTCACCTAATAATATGACCCATTTTTACTCACCATTATGAAAAATCAGGGGTTGAGTAGCAAATATAAGTAACTGTATTTTACCTGAAGTTGGTTTGTCAGAGATTTCTGTCATTCTTCTAATCATCTTACAGCTTGTAATGAGCTGAGACAACACTTCATGTCATCATTAGCATTTTAAATAATGAATTATGGTAACAACAAATAGCACCTCATGTTTTACAGACAATTTTATCTAGAAGAATAAAAATAACTAGTTCTGCCTGGGTGCATGCATGACTTACACACGAGTACATATTTATTTTCTTATTCTAAAAATCAAATTCAGTTCTAGGAAGTAATTTTTAGCACTTGACTCTAACGATGTGTTTGTCATGGCTAGGCTTCACGAACGAAGATTTGGGAAGGCTCTATCCACATTTGCTACAGGCACGCTGGTGGCTTATGAGGCCAATACGTGACAGACATATCCGATTGCAAAAGGCACAGCAGAAAGACTCCTTAGATGGTGTATTCTGCAATACATGGTTCTTTCTGCGTTGCCTTTTCTCCTCGAGAGTGATCCTG